GAGAGAGAGAGAGAGAGAGATAGAGAGATATATAGATAGAGAGAGATATCTATATATATATATATATATATATATATATATATATATATATATATATATATATATATATATATATATATATATATATATATATATATATATATATGTATATATATATGGTTTTTTTATTTTAATTAATTGTTCAGTTGGTGAATTTAGTTATAATAACTGATACAGTTACAACAAGAATTCAAGAAAGTATTTGTTATTTTGCTGTATAGTATATAATATCAAGATTAGGGTTTTAGCTAACTAATTCTGCCAATTAATAAAGTCAACTTAAATGAGTATAACAATTTCCTAATTATAAATATAATAATTCCTTGCAATTTATTTTTTTTTATCCAAAAAAATAAAAAATAAGTGAAGTAAAAAAGAAAAGTTCAAGCAAATAAATGATTATTAAAAGTTGATTTTATTATTTTAATTAATTTGAGAAAACAGCAGGATCTTATTTTTCTCCAACATATATATGTATGTTAGTTTTACTCAAATTATTTTATTTAGTTAGCTTGATGGATTTGTTTATTAATCTAAAATACTTAGGCCCCGTTTGGTTGTCAAGATAAGCTATAATTAACTAAATAGTTGGATTTAATTTGATGTTCGGTATCCTCAATAAATTGTCGGGTCGACCCGCCAAAATTATATAATCATAGCTTATCGTGGCTTACTTTGCCTTCTAATAAGTTTTTTTTTTTTTTTTTTTTTTTTTTTTTTTTTTTTTTTTAGGTTTCAAGCTCCAATAAAATAATTGAGTCTCATTAGATTATTTATTAATCTAATCTTGGCTAGTCTTATCTTGCCAACCAAACGAGTCCTAGTTACTTATAACTTATTGTTGCGCGCTTTATAACACTCATTGCTCGCCTAGGGGCCTCCCGGTTATCGATGGAGCAACAAGACAAACGACATTTGGAGGACCGTACGTGGCATCGATAACGTGCAACCACGACGCGACACTTGGCAGCGTTATAGACACAATCTCTTCGAGATCGGTGCACAAGATCTATTGTTCAATCAAATTATTCAGCTCAAGGGATGGAGGGCGACAGACTAATTAAAGCCTCGTTTGATTTGGGTATTAGCCATGATTAACTAAAAAAAATCAGACATACTTGATAGATTAAATAACAACAAATTTTAAACTCAAATTTCAAACATGTGATATACCATAATAAAAATTGATTTTTTGTAAATTAAAGGCTCGTCCGATTACCTAAATTTTGAAAAACGTTCGGTTCAGTAGATTAGATGACTAAAATAAAATAATATTTATGTTTTTTTTTCTTTTTTTGTTTTTTTTACTACATGCTTAGAAATACGTTCAGTTCACTGGATTAGATAACTAAAATAAAATTATATATATATATATATATATATATATATATATATATATATATATATATATATATATATATATATATATATATATATATATATATATATATATATATATATATATATATATATATATATATATATATATATATATATATATATATATATTTTGTGTTTTTTTTCCTTCTAATTATAACTAGCAATTGTACCCGTGCGATGCACGGGACAACAAATTGCATGTTTTGATGTTGTAAGTATATACACAAACATTTGATGTATTCGTATGATGAAATTTTTTATTACAATCATTCATTAATAATTAATCAGTGGAACATAGTAAACTGTCCACTTAGTAAACTAAGTCTACTTACTACACAAAACAAAAAATAAAAAATAAGCAAATTTTATCGGCAACATATCATCGGAAAAGGCTATCTCTGCATCTTGCATCGTAACTAATCCCTTCTCCTAACCTTCCATATATTTGTGTCAAGATCAACTTCATGCTCCCCCGACATATCGATTGCATCGACGCTTAGAACTGAAACGATTCACACATAAACGTGTTCAAGTGGGACAGAGAAGTTGAAAGTTTTTGGGAATCCGAAAAATCGGAACAAAATAGACTGAGATGGAAAATAAATAAAAAATTACAAAAATTTATGCTGGAGATAAAATAATATTAAAAATGTGATAAAATTCGAAAACAAATAAAAATTAAAAAAAAAATATGCTGGAGATAAAATAAAAAAAAATTACAAAAAAACAAAAAAAAAAGAGATTTTAATTAGAAGATTTAATTAGTTGTGCATTAGAGATTTAGGGCTGAAAATTAGGAGCGAAAGTTACAAAAAACGAAAAAGAGATTTTAATAATTAGAATATTTAATTAATTACAAATATGCCATTAGGGTTTTTCTAAGGTTGCCCAGCGTTTCTTTCTTTTAATATTTAGAAGAGTTAATTAGTTGTGCATTAGAGATTTTAGGGCTGAAAATTAGGAGCGAAAGTTAAAAAAACGAAAAAGATATTTTAATAATTAGAAGATTTAATTAATTACAAATATGTTATTAGGGTTTTTCTAGGGTTGTCTAGCGTTTCTTTCTTTTATATATTCGCATAATAGCTAGGTACGATGCGAACAATGCAATGACTCCGGGCAAATAGAGCTGTAGTCACCGGAATACAGTAACGCCGACGTATTCTCCGGCGCTTTGCCGTAAACGTGCCTGTGAGTCTTCACGACACGAATGTTAAAGTCAACGTCGTTAGTACAGTTTGTGTACATGGGCTCAACGACTCCCCAAGCTTGAGAAAGTACGATTTCGGTCAACTCTCGGCGCTCGTTGGTGGTCAGGGGCCAGTCTTTGAATTCGCCGGCGATGAACTCACGCGCCTTTTCCTGGTCGTTGAATAATTGGCGGCAGTCGACGGAGATGGATTTCTTCGCCCGAGGAAGATCGAATTGCCGGAGAAACTCGGGAACCGAGCATGGGGGACGGACAGGGGCGTACCCATGGTTATGGTTGTGGTTCCCG